TTACGAAAATTATAATAATTGAAAATATCCGATATTAATGAAAAAGATATAATAGAGAAACAAGTACTCACCATTTTCCGATATATGATTATTCGAATGCACTCGATAGGAAACAGCGTGTCGGACCACGACTCGTTCACTGTCTGACTTTGCGGATAGTACGATCACTGCGCTTCGCCATTTAATAGCATCGCTATATGTACACGGTATCATCTGTCTATGAACCGGAGTTCATAAGCGACGCGAATCAGCTTAGACTGTTATAGTATTCATGACAATTGCGTGTGTAGGTGCACACCTACATATAAGGTGCATTATCGGTCATTGTTTTCTCGGGAATGGTTCAAGGTACAGGAATGCTTCTCTTTACACACAAACTGCGTCCGAGAGAGGTCAAAGATATTTTATACATACAAGAATAATTTTTTATCTTTATCATTATTTATAACTAAAAATCTACATTTTTAAAAATATTCGCCATGAGTACTCTTTTTACGCTCTGATTAATATTATACATTATAAAAATAATTATATATTTAATAATTACATAGCATATCTGTTTTACAAACTATTGTTTCTTGAGTCCTTTTGGACTCGACAAAGTTATTAATTTCACCCTTCTAGGAGTTTTGTGACATATAATAGGAGCAGACTTTGGCGGAGTATTTCTGGTTTTGATTTTGGTCCCATCGCTACTGTTTTCTTCGTTATACACCAATTTGATATCTTCTGTTTCTTCTTCATTTAATTTCTTGTCAATCTGTAAATTACTTTCTGATCTAATATTTTCACTACTAATAATTTCGTTCAGTTTCTGTCCCTTAAGTTTTTCAGCTTGATTATTTGTTATTGCGTTGGTTGTGTTACTTTTTATAAGTTCAATGTCCATCGCACAATCATCTACATCGAATATTGTTGGAACATTGTTTTTGTTTTTGATTGTACTGTACAAAGATTTTTTACTAGAACTTTTAGGTACTTCCTTTATAGTTTCCTTTATACTCTTTTGTAAAGAATTTTCTTTTATCTCATAAACTTTCCCTAGTTCACCTTCTTCAAAGTGTATTATGGAACAGTAGCCATCGCTCGAAGATGTAATTAAAATTTTACCATCGCTAGACCTATAAGAAAAGACGCTAAGACTCGCAAATAATTCGAATATACCATATTGACAATCACGTACCATGAAAGATCATTTAGTCTACCATAATGAATTAGCGACACCACACCGATTGGAGAAGTCTGCTGTGTATCGTAGAATAATATAGAACTCTGTGTAGCGACAGCGAGTATCATTCTGTAAGGCAACGGTACCAAAGCAGCTGGACCATCCTTTCGTAATTCAAAATACACAGGACAACATCGTACTGCTATAGTACATTCATTTAAAGTAGGTAAGATCATTATTGGTCTAAAAGAAAGTCGATTTTATCATTAAGATTGCTTTTTAAGCCAAGTTACGGGTTTACAATAGAATTACTAGAGATTTAATACTGACTCTCTTATATCTTCTCTAGAGAAAACAATTACTGCATTTGATACAGTCCCTGTGGTCTCCTGCGACTCGATTATTCCAGATGGAACAAAAATTAGGGATCCATCTATCGAGAAGGTCAGTCGGCGGAAGAAAGATTTGAAGGTGTCGTCGTAAAATAGACGACGCACGAGCTTCCCTTCCAATGAAATGCCAGATGGTGTCGGAATTTTAGACTTATAAACGCGCTGAACGACTTTCTTTGTGGCAATGCTTATTAAACGGCAGTATCTGAAAATAATGAATTTGATTCACAATTAAAATTTGACAGATGCTTTTTTAATTGCATAATTTATAATTGAATAGCCAATACGCGAGAGCAGCTATATCAAAAATTTAAAAAAAAAAACAAAATATTGCAAAACCTTCCTTAGCTCTTTGGTTACGAATTAAACGAGTTAAGAAGATGTAAAACATTTATAAATCATACCAAATTAAAAATATTAAAGGAGAATATGAATCCAATTGTAAAAGAAGTTATAATAAAACTTCAAGCTTCTACTGTTGCAAATATAATTATATACATTAGTCGGTAATAAAAATGGCAGAGATTTGTTACAAGAAGTCAATTAAAAATTTCTTCTTCAGTTGAAAAATCAGTCCATTCTATTTTAATAAATAGAAATTATTATATTTCTTATACTTATGCTACATTTTATTAACTAAAACAATGGATTTTCCTCAATTCTTCAAAATTTTATTGATAGCTTGATTGAGAAAAATAGTAAAAGCTTTTTGTTCTTGCCAAAAAATTTCAAGAGGAGACGACGGTTTTTTCCAACTGGCTGTTTAATTATGGATTACACACCTGTCTGTACTAATAGTGCATACATATTGATTACAGGGATCCCAAGACACTCCTTGTACAAAACCTTTGTGGTCTTGTAATATCGCAGTTTTACGACCTTTCTGAATATCCCACAGTATAGCAGTATTATCAACAGATCCCGAGATTAAAAAATTAGAGTCCGGCGACCAACTAATATCATAAACGTCTTCAATATGACCTTTCAGTACTTTCCAGGAAGTCCATTGTTCTTTATTTTCAGTATCATCTGAAGGCGGAGATAAGTCTCTTCCTTCCTTGACTTTCCACAAAATAATAATCGATTCTGTATATTAAAATCAATTGTGGTTTAGGTTTTCTTAACAAGATAAGAACATGAAAAATAAAATAACATTAAGTGGTCAAACCATCATCTCCTGATGCTAGAATTTCCTTTGACGGAGAAAATCTCACAACATTTACTGCCCTTTGATGACGAACCAAATCTGCTGCAAAGCTCACAGTAGCTCCACCATAATTGGTTGTTGTCAAATGCCAAATCTGAATGTGTAAATATAATTAAATCAAGATATTAAACAAATCCTTATTAGTAAAACATCTGACAACATTAATAGAATCTTGTACAAATTTTAGTATTATGTTCCATTAATATTGCAAATAATGTATGCTATTTGGACTATTATTATTATTATTTAAACTAAATATTACACATTCTTTCTCTCTATTATTTATTATAATGTAACTTAATTTTCCATAGTTACAAATTTTTGTGATTTTCTTTTTTTATATATGATACACATTTTCTTTATTAATACACATATATGAAGAAAAATAAGACTGCTATTATTTACTTTAGTTTTGCTCAAAATAAATACCTAGTATAATTACAATAATAAATAGAAAATCGATCAATATGTAAATAATACAAATAAGAAAAGTAAATGCCTTATTCAGTAAAAACGAATTTTTATATCTAATAATATTTTTACATGAGTCTTTACAACTTCTAATTTATTTAATTACGTTACCAAAACATGGCAATCTGCTCCTCCAGTCGCCACTCTCCAAAACATTTCTCCTTTCGCATTTTCGTACACATCGCTTTGTACATCGATACTCAGGACTGGATCGCGATTATGCCACGAAATTTCGGGAGTAATACACTTCATTCTGTCGATTAAGATCAACAGGTATTTATGCACGATGTTGCGATTGTCGTGAAACTGTAAACGAATAGGATACGAAGCAGAGGCCAGAGGTGTGCAATGTGGCGGTATCTCGTGAATTTACTTAACCTTCAAACTGAGGTGTCATGTAGCTGTGTGCGTAGCACACTTCAGACGCTCGCGGTTTATCCACGCCGTTAGCAATAGTATTGATTAATTGATTAAGAATAAGAAGGCTTAAGTCGTGGTGAAATTTGAAAGGCTTAAAGCCCGTTGCAGCGTCGTTTGGAAAGAAGAAGAAAAACCTTCAAGGCTTCAAACTGTCACGTCGTTCGCGCCAAGAGTTTTGTGGACGGTCAAGTTGGGTTAGGTAACAGTTGCCATGGCAACTGATGGCAACATAGCAATCACCTTGCACGATAATTTAACGTTTCATCAGCTTATGTTTGTTTTTACGTTTCACGATATTTCTTATGTACAAATAGCAACGAATACTTAGTAAATGAGTTCCTTAAACACAAGGCAATATATGGTTATCATAATCCTGCAATATGTTATATTGCTCTTTGACGTTTGCATAAATTCATTCGCTAGCTTTGCCAGACAACACCCAACCGACTTGCTGGTACTTTATGTGTACGTAATAATTTTTTATAATTTTTGTTATGTCTCTATTGCGACGACCTATTTAACATCATGGAACTGCGTTTAATCAATATCAACAATTTCAGGATTCAAGACTTTTGCCTCATCGTAGCCCTCACGTTACTCTTAGTAAATTTCTTTTCCACTTACATCTTCCAGGTGAACATGTACCCAAATTTGTAATTAAATGTTTTTACATTTGTGTATTTTCATGAGTAGAATTTATATCTCGAGGAGAGAGAGAGAGAGGTCTCATTGCTCAAATTTTGATTTTTTTTTGTCAATAAGTAAAGAAGTGATAATTTAACAATAATTCTCTATATATTCTCTGCTTTAATTAATTAAAAACTGTTTTATATAATTTAAATTATAGAGAATAGTTTGTAATACAGAATTTGTCTTACTCTTTTTATATTGACATAAAAAAACTTTGAAATTAAAAAAAGAGAAAAACAAGAATTTAGTGACAATTTTTCTACTTAAAATATATTCTACGTATGAAAATACACAAATTTACGAAATTACAGAAAAATATAGGGAATGTTATACTATAAATTTATCGCGTGTTAATCTGTTGAAAATACATTCTATAAGTGAAAGCAGACTTTCAAAATGCATTTTATCTAAAATTTACAATTTGCAGAAAACTAGAAAGAAAACTTTACAGAAAAGTAACATACCAATCAATAGGATATTAAATAAATTACTTAAAAAATGTGTGTTAAAAGTATAAAAAAATTTATTTTGTTAATCGTCAGTTAAAAAATATGCAAAACTTCGAATGTCTAGGCTTTTTTCAGCACATAAATTGACTGTGAAAAGAATGATCATTTTAGACTAGCTTAAAATATAAATATTTTATCACTAAACATTATGTTATCTCTCTAATTTAGAAAATAAAATTTTGGATGAGACGTATTTTAAAAGTTTGATTCTTAAGTGAATTGAAAAATTCTGATGAAATGATGAGCTATATGGGATTTATAGGAGTCATAGATATGTCGTGAGATCTTAAGTCATAGAAAATTAATTAATCAGTTATTCTTTTCATATTAGATTATGATTAGTTAATTTTCTACGATTTTTTTTTTTTAAATCCCACGATTGTCTACGACTTCTAATCTAGATCCTGCATTAATTTTCACATATAGTGTAGCTCATAATGTGGTGAACAAAAAACAGACTCAATAATTGCTACTTTTTGGGCTATAATGTATCAAAGATGTTCTGTGAACACAAATTTTATACCTTTGGTACAGATAAACCTGTAGCTAAATATAGCTCAAAAACTATCTATTATTAAGCCTTGTATCTGATGATATTTTTATTCATTGTATTATAAGCTATAATGTTATCATATGTAAAAACTAACTCAATTCACTCTCCATATTATTAGATTGTGAGATTCCTTAGCAAAATTATAATAGAATATGATGGCAGATCAACCATAGAAATCAAGCAAAATCTGCCATTTCATAATCATTTAAATGATACTGACAAACTTGGTTGATGTAAAACAAGCTTAATTTGAGTGCAACTGACATTTGCTATAGTATTCTATTTAAAGCTGGAACTATTAAATTATATTACTGACTGAAAAGTTTTTATGGCTCCTATATTATGTATATTTGATAGAGATAAATAAAACAGGTTTCATTTTTAGGCTGGTTTGATACAGCTACTGTACACAAGATTCCGTATGACATTAGTATTATGTATCATCTATATGATATTATCAATTAGTTTGCATACATGGCACATCAGTATACATTGGTCAATGCCATTAAAACATTATTGGACAAAAGAATTTCACACTCTTTATTCTACACATAGAACAGGTATAACGTTAGAAAAACTTAAGATTGTTGTCTCGTTGATAAATAAATGATAATTCAGGATGTTTACGAAGTTGCAGTGCTATATTATTACTTCTACAAAAGAGCCTCTCTGAGAATCGGTGATCCAAGATTCTACAAAAGTTCTGCTTGGGTACAAAAGCAATTGAGTATTCCATAATTACATGTAAATAAATTTTCGATGAAACATAAAGGGTAATTGTAGCTTTGATAATATAGATGTAAGAATATATCTATGTATTTTAAATTTACTATCTTAAGCTATTTATACAATGTATTTGTATTTATACAAATTTATATGATTATACATAAATAAAACGAAGTTGATATATCCATATATTAGTTTCTAAATTAATGTATTATACATACGTTGTACAGTTTATACACATTGTGTAAAAAACTTTTATTACAAATCTTTTATATACATATTTTTATATAAGTATGTTCTATATTAAATCCTTTGAGATCAAGGAAAAGATAATTTTACACATTATTGAAAAATTATTATGTCAATGCATACATTCATGAAAAAAAATCATTACTGTAAACTTTTTACAGATTATCTTTTGTGTCATTGTGATTAGTGCAATTTATATGATTATTCACACACCACACACACATACGCGCGCGCGCGCGCACACATACATATATACACAAGGTCTTCCATAACTTAATTAACATTTCTACGAGTGAAAGAGAATGAAATTTTTAACTGAAAGTTTTTTTTCCAATTTTAGTTCAGATTAATATTTATCGAGTTATTAATGATTGAAGTCGATTAATCAGATTGCACCCAACTGGATTGCATAGAAAAGCAGTATACCATACGACTTTTCGTGCTTACTGTACATCCTTCTGATTAAAATTTATTATAATTGTTCATATTAATAAATAAATAAAAATGTATTGAAGATTTGAAGGACTCTTTTACTTAATAATAATTAACACGTTAAATAGGGCGAATAAGAGTCAAATTACAATTTGAAATCTAAATCTGATAATTTATTCTAATATTATATATTGCGAAGAATATCACGTAATTTTTGGCGTTTCGTCCCGGCTTCCACTACTGGACTCATCATAAGTAAATAAAAATATATAAATCAATAAATGTGTAGATAGATAGTTTAATAATTTACTTATTTATCTACGCATTAATTTATTTATTATAATTGTGAGAATGTATAGTAAGAACGAGGAAACCTTGTAGCATGCTATGCTTCTAGGTATTCCGAATGGGTGTAATCTGATTGATCAATTTTTATCATTGGTAACTTACTGTACATTATACAAAATTGAAATCATAATACTTGGCTGATGACTTATGTATTTAATTGTGTATTAGAATTTGTTAATAAATTCAAAATAATTGACATTTAAGATAAATAATATATAAGTTTATTACATTTATCTGTGACTTATTATATGTGATCTCTTTATTTTTATATTAATGTAAAATTGAACTAAAGAGATCATAAAAGTATACATAGAATTATATTATAAATAATATTCAATACTAAAGACCGTTAATGTAAGAACATACGAATACGAAGCTTATAACAGTCTAGCTTGGGTCTTTAATTGCTTATATATAATTTCGTGTGAATTTATATACTAATATACGTAGTTCCCCCAAAATGCGCGCCGAATAATCATCGGTCTTGAAACGCAACTCTAATAAACTACCATGATACTATCATGAATTAAAACAAATTAATAATTAATTGATGCTCTTTTATAGCATCTTATGTTGATGTTAAACTACGTATATTAGTATATAAATTCACGCGAAATTATATATAAACAATTAAAGATTCAAGTTAAAGGCTTCGTATTAGTATTAGTTATATTATTTTCATAGTTTATTTTTCGATGTAATAAGAAATGATTCTAATTATACACATTGAGCACTTTTTAATAATAAATATTTATAGGAAAACAGTAAATGCTATTTGATTATACACTTTATAAACCAATAATAATACCAAACAATATAAATAATGAAATGCAATTAAGTGCATTAATTCGATATAATGCATATCGGATTAAATCACATTTATATTTATGTAACAATGTGTTTATTAATCGTTTATAATAATATAATTCATTATATAATATGTATATATACATATGTACATATATATGTATATATACAGTGGCGTGCAAGTTTCCAGTCAGTAAGGTAAATTTTGTATCTTAATTTATAAAAAAGACCCTGATAAAATTATTATTATTATTATTATAGGCATTAGTACAAGATTTTGCTCTGACAGTAGGACAGTTCTAGGAGCGCTGGGGGCATGTGTCTTTGATTCTCGGCTGGTCTGAGAATGCAGACGCACCTTAGACCAGCTATCAATCAATAACGACGTTACTGTTGTATATAGGTCCCTGGACACTCAGGGATCAGAGGCAACGAGATTGCTGATGAACTTGCAAGAATCGGTTCATCAACCAGTCTGGTGGGATCAGAACTGACCCTTGGAATACCCAGCTGTATTGATAAGGCTATGATAAGGTGCTGGTTGTGGGAACGCCACATCGACTTCTGGAAAAAAGAGACAAGGACCAAAGGCGAGTGGCAGGCGAAGGTTTTGATAAGAGAGGTTCCCTGTAAGAACCTTGCCAAGAGTATTAGAGTCTCAAGAAGAAGAAAAGCTAGACTGGCAGTACAGATCTACACGGGTCATAGCTCCACCAACTACCACATGCATAAGCTGGGGCATTGTGATACTTCAAAATGCAGGAAGTGCAAGCATAGCGAAGAAACCACTCTTCACATGCTGTGTGAGTGATTCAGCTTACGTTGGAAGTAGATGGTTCATACTAGGCTCGGAATTTCTCAAGTCTGAGCAGGTATGTCAACTCCAAGTCAGGGAGTCATCTCCTCTGTTTCTGGAGGAAAACAGGTCTGGACTAACCAGGAGTTGATTCAACCGGGAAGACACAATGGACTTTGTCTGCGTTGGTGGGCTTCTGCCAAGGAGGCCGCCTCCCAAGGATAATTATTATTATTACTATTATACAAGATTTCATTACTCACATCTTGTGCTAATACCCGATAATTAAAATCTTAACAGATTTTTTGTTTATAAATTAAAATACAAAATGTTATCGGAAATTTTTGCACGCCACTGTATTTGTGTGTGTGTGTGTGTGTGTGTGTGCGCGTGCGCGTGCGCGCGCACGTGCATGTGTACATATTACGACATGTATGAATAAAAAATTATATGTTATTAGATATTTTATCAAATTTGTATTAAAAGGAAAAATACAACGAACTCTGACACAATCCGTGGTAGTATTATATTGAAACATAAAATATATGAATGGTTAAAATATGAACAAGACTTTTTTGTGAAAACAAATTAATGTTGGTAGACATATTTACATTGAGTAATAGGTGGGACTGTCTATTTACGCTCTATATCTAAATAATTGTAGGCAACTCTGTTCGTGTGAGTACTCATTGTAAAGTTTTGCTCATACTTGAACCATCTTTATAAGATACAATTTACTAATAATAATTATTATTATTAATAATTATTATTAATAATTATTATTACTCATAATAGCTGTAATGTATACATAATATAACTGTATTCTATAGTCTATACATATATTTTCTATATATAATTTTTCTGTAATGAACAAACTTTAGAATTGGTCACACAAATATTTGATCTTAACTTTTTATTTCTTAATTTCATGTGGATCTGATGTATTAAAATATATAAAAGAGCAATCCTATTTCTTGATCGAAAAGTTTCGAGACATACGAAATATTTTTTATTATGTAAAATGTGAATATTTTAAAAAAGGAAATCTAGAACTTGTAAAAACAACTTCTCTCTACAAGAGATCTTTATTATATCGATTTCTATTGATTATAAATTATATTAAATAAAAATTAAATTATGCAAAAACTTTTATATTAACCTCACCTTATATGCATCATATTTCGCTTATTATATAATGATCGATCTCATTTTTATATCGAATCTTAGGAATGTCATATTTAATAAAAGTAAAAACAAAATTGACATTCTTTGAATCATAGATACTTACATAATACTTATACATTGTATCCAAAATTAGGAAAAGTTGTACAAAGAGTTTACTTGAACATGTATCATTTTTGACTAAATTATTGCAAGTAAATTCGATACATTGTGAAAATATCCTATATACCACAGTGAAATATTTTTCAGGCAGCATGTTGGAAGCTTAGAAACTTCTATCATATTTGCATGGTATGATTACCATGCAAAAAGATTAGTTTATCAATCAGATGAGGCGGCAAAGTTGCTCGCCTTGTATCGTATTGAATCTGCACGTCTGGCGGGATTCGTGAAGGTGGTGCACAACAAGCAGGCACACAATGATATCTGCTCACTAACCTTGCTAGATTTGGACATTTCGCAGATACCTTTGACCACCATTGCAGCGGACAATAATCGAGAGGTGCCGTAGGTTCCGACTGATATTGAACAATTTCAAGATCAGCTTTTTCCTCTGCGGGCATACCGGCCTTTGTAGTGCATAAGCTACCAAGTAAGAACTCCATACCTGTAATTAAAAATCGGTCTAAAATGTCTATTTCACGTTGTCTGCATAACTAAAGATGCGTTATATGTAATTATCTTTAAAAAATACCTGAAACTCTAGTTTTTTTACTTGGTACTGCTTCATCTTCAGTCTTTATCAAAACATCTCCAGATTCTTCCTGAATCAATTTCGTCAACATTTCCTTTATAGGTGTGCTAACTACATTTTTATCTTCCTCAGTGACATACGGCATTGTTTTAAATCTGCAATATAAAATGAAAGTTAAATATATATATATATATACACATATATAGTATGTACATAATAAAACATATGTGTTCCCAAAGTTACTTCAATTAGTGGGCTTACAATGGAATGCTCAGAAGTATCCTCATAGATTTCAATGAAACTTGGCTGGATTATAATGTGTTCCCCTGAATATACATATTATTATTATTCTTATTTGAGCATAAATGGCCAACCATTTCTGAGATATTTCAATATTAAATTTAGTAGCAGTAATTCATTAGAATTTGTATGCGAATTCATGGTGCAAAATTCATATTATATTTGTGTTTATCAAAACTTTCACCCTAAAATCGATGAGGACTACTTTGCAATTTTTCAAACATACAAATGCCACAGTGAAGGAATACTTCGATGCACGCTCATATCTCTCTCTCTCTCACGCACACATCAAAATCATCATTTTTAAATCTTTTAAACCAATCTTGATACGGCCTTTTAAATACAATTTTACCTCCATAAGGCCTAAAATATAAATGAAAAATCTAGGCAATAGGAGCAAGGATTAACAAATATCAACCTATAAGAAACTAAAATATACAATTTTTCTGATTTGTTGAAATCTGTTACCCTCTGTTTCTACTGTTTGTAATTTTCGATTGTGCTTTAGTCTTATGTCTCATAAATTATTCAACCGGGATTTTACCGCAATGAAAATAGTAAAACATACAATGGCGAATATACATCTTTTTATTTTCAATTTAATTAAAAATGTAGTTAATTGTTTAACTACAAATTGTTATATATAGTTTTTAAAATACAGATTGATCAACTTTACTAATGAAAAAATAAATTAGGTGCGGAAATTTAAATACAGTTTTTATATACCATCTAAAGTTAATATAGCAGGAACTTATTTATACACCTAATATACTTAATTAACATATTTATAAAGACGCAATGGAAGGAATAAGGAACAAAGAATAACATATTTTAATTAATTATGTATTCTGGTGACTTTGATTTCTGGTAGGTTAAAATCTATTATCCCTTGTTCCTTATTCCTTTCATTGTAGTTAAGTCCTAAAGACTTTCACATTAACATACCTAGGATCCAAAGTAGTTGCAATTTGTAGAAGCAACGTGACATTGTAATCCGCATATCGTTCGCACAACATATCCGACAAAGATTCTTTAAAAGACTTGGCAGTATCACTGTCTGATTCTTTTATTTTAAGATGTGAAGATACAAGTTGCCAAAGTAATGGTTTCAACAGAGATATCAAAGGCATTTTTTCTTCGCTTAATGTCATAATGGTAACTTTGAACGGTGCGAGAACATTCACAATATCTTCCATAATTTTCCACTGTTCATTGGTGATTTCAAACATTTCATGATCTATTCCTTCTGTACTTTCTAATACAGAGATAATTATGTTACGACGTGCAATTATTTGTTCCAGCATTGTGTATGTAGATATCCATATAGCTGGATAATCTAGGAATATAGTATTTTCATCCAGCTATAATAAAAGAACAATAACTATTAAACATTTATAAAATTTCTTTAATAAAACTGTTTAATTGGAACATTGTTTAATAACCACAAGATTGTTTTTATAACAAAAAATGTAGTTGCTTCTACAAAATAAATTTTCATGCCTTGTGAATGATATTGGTTTATACTAATTAAACAGTTTTGTTCGGTATTAAATTATAAATATTTTATAAACGTCAGATGGTGTGAGTGTGTTACAAAATATTTTATGATAAATATCAATTCATAGGAAAAATACCTGATCTGACAATTGTTCTTGCATAGACAAAGTTGCAAGTGCAGCAGGGTGACTTATGATAGCACCAACAACCGATCTGCATTTAGCTAATGTTTGAGATACTTCAGGATTCTCAAAGCAAGCTTGCGCACACATTTGTAGAGTATGAAGCAAGCATGGTACCACAGTTAGGCCACGGTTAGTTAGTGCCGTGAGCAAGTTTGTTCTTGAGGTACTAACAACCGCTGCCGTTATTTTCTCTATTTTAAGATCCCATTCAAGTAAGAGAGATTCTATGACAAGTCCCCAATGGGACTCATCCCAATCTAACGGCGCGTGAAGAGTGCTTAAAATCTTACATTCCAAAGTAGCTTCTTCGTCATTTTGATAATAAACCGACATAGTAACAAAATTCTCGTTGTTATTGGATCGCCACTCTTCGATGGTCAATGCCAGTTCCGAGGCGATGTAGGACAAGGAAGTTGCTACCGACTCCCGGAAGTTATCGTATATTCTGGGTATTATCTCTTCTTCCAGCTTGTTCTTGCTGGGGATCTCGCAAGGTGAGCGTAGGGTTGCAACTAGCCTTTGGAATCCACGTCCCTCTACGATCTCAGGCAATTGCAAATCCATAATTAGAAACTCTGCTATAGCATCCGACACAGTTTTTACATCGACCGATTGGTTAACATTCTCCTCGGACATAAGGAACGTCACGTTCTGGCCGTTACTGTTAATACCAGAGCCACCCTTAAACATTACTCTCAGTGGTTGACCAATGGTGATATCATCCTCCAGACTTATGTTAGGATCTGTAACAAATTGTATATCACCGTCTATCTGAACGGTACCATCTGCATTAGTAGTATAGATATATTTAGGGCTCAGGCCCTTGAGCAGCTTCTTCTGCATTTTTCGCTCCTTGTTGTCCAACGACAGGATCTGTTTCGTAGCCGGCAGATTAGATAATTCGAGGTCCCTCAGTTCTTGAGCGTGCTTATTCTGCAGATGCATGCGCAGGTTGCTGGTATTACGATTGTAGGCGATTTGAGTCTTGCAAAGTATACAGACAATCTTTACCTTGGTAAGAATGTCACCGTCGTCGGTGGCTGGAAATCCAAAGAATTTCCAGTAAATACTCCGCATCGACGGTGGCACCACCAATTTCTTGTATGTATATGTGTGCTTCTCCTCCATCATTTTCGCCAGTACCATTTGTATATCATCCTTGTTGTCTTCTGATGTGCCTGGTTTTGCCGCCGGATTATTCACGATGTTCACCAACGTTTGTTTGTTATTCTCCATGCCGTACACTCGCAAGTACGATTGGTGTGCGGTTACATCAATGTAGACATGTATATATAGGTCGTTTTACGATCCTTTTAACATTCACGTGCGATCGACGTGCAAAAGATCGCTCACTCAAAAATCCAATTATGAATGTAATATTAATGAACGAAGACGAGAGAAATCTGATAATTCATATCGCGTAGCCAGTGGGCAACGCGCGGCCCACGTCGCGTCGGTCGCCTCGCCAGTCGCCACCCGCCGGCGACGCGAGTCGCGAGTGCGACGAATTTTACTACGGACACACCGTTCCAATTCGATATATTCGACTCCTTCCCTCGTATACTGCACCTCTTTCTGACGAAGTCGCTTAGTTGCTCTTTTTCGCGGCTATCGAAGTTCAATTCAATCCCTCGCGTCGAAAAGCAACGATGGCCCCGGCGATCAGCTATCGACTTATTATCTGCGACGATGCGATATCGACTATTGTATACCGTTCGTTTCGCGAGGAGTATCGTTATATCTATAGACCTCGCCCGATCGATTCGAGTATTAACACCGTAATGGCGGCAATGGCGGTAATGGTGAATAGGACGTGCTCGCATGAACATTTGAGCAACGACATATATATATATATATACATACTACAATGGCTGCATTCAGTACACTGAGCAGGGCCCTTATTATTGAAAAGAAACATTTGCAAAAAATTAGGGTAATACTACAGTATACATCACGTATATTATACCTAATGTTTCGTACGCGACATTTTTCAACAATAGGGCTCCAGTTTTGCGACTATTTTAAAGATTGACTGTTGAGAGAGAGAGAGAGAGATAAATTAATGGCTCCAGCACACTGGGTGGCAAAAAGTGACACAGTAGCCAATGAACATGTTAGGAACTGTATAAGCTCAGTGGCTACCGCGTCACATTTTACCGCGCGGCAAGCGTTTCCGCGTCTAGTTTGCAGGAAAGTACAATCCAATCAGCGTGAAGAAAACAGTTGTAAAATAAGTAAAATCTTCCTCGAAGAGGACGTTTTGGAATGCAGCCTAGATATGCTTGCCGAGTAATTAAACATGATTGGTTGGATCTACAGATAAGAACCAATCATATTGTTTTGTTTGGCAAGTATGTCTAGGGTGCGTTCCACTTAAAGCGGGGAGCACAGACTTTTGCATAACGCATAAAGCATGTGCATAAGAAATTTCATTGGTCCATTTTCTTATGCATGAGTCAATGGACCAATCAAATTCTTTGGCCCGTATTCAGAACGCACTTTTATCGATAAAAGCGCGCTTTTATCTCTGAAATTCTATAGTATACGTGACGTAAACTATAGCATGTTAGCGCGCTAACATCGTTGTTAGCGCGTTCTGAATACGGGCCAAAGAATTTGATTGGTCCATTGACTCATGCATAAGAAAATGGGCCAATGAAATTCCTTATGCACATGCTTTATGCGTTATGCAAAAGTGTGTGTTTCTCGCCTTAAGGACGCAGCACACACTTTTGCACGGCGCATAATGCATGACGCATAAGAGAATCAACCAATCAAAATGCTTCTCTTCCGTGAAGTGGAAGGGAAAGAAGGACCTCTAGTTGGTTCTCTTAAGCGGGGAGCACAGACTTTTGCATAACGCATAAAGCATGTGCATAAGGAATTTCATTGGTCCATTTTCTTATGCATGAGTCAATGGACCAATCAAATTCTTTATGTATATGGTTTATGCGTTATGCAAAAGTCTGTGCTCCCCGCTTTATGCGTAAGGCCGCAGCACACACTTTTGCATAATGCATAAACCATATACATAAAGTATTTGATTGGTCCATTGACTCATGCATAAGAAAATGGGTCAATGAAATTCCTTATGCACATGCTTTATGCGTTATGCAAAAGTGTGTGCTGCGGCCTATAGGCTTTATCCATTCACATTTTACGTGCGACTTTATAAGAGAAATGCGATTGGATAATTTTCTTTATGCATATGTTTATGCAATTATGCAAGTGTGTGGATATACCCTTAACGGTTGCATGTAAATGTACCTTAAAGGATTGACGATGCTTGTTCGAACGTCTCGGTTTCGGTCTCGTCGAGCAGATTTATTCGTTGCCGAGATAAGTATTTGGAGGTATAAATTTCAGACAAAAACGCGTGAACTTAATTGACATGACTGAATTAAACAATTCCATTTTTATTTGCTAGGTCGAGCGAAATTGGTTATTTATTTGTGGAAAAATTTGACGTGAAACACGAGAAGTTCATGTGTTCGTTGTTTATACATGCAGATTCGAGACGCTCGAGACTGCTGACCTGAAATGCGTCTGTCAACAGAGTTTGGGTTGCTATCATTTCTGATATTATGGCGGTTAATCAACGTAATTGTGGTACGGACTACTCACGTGCCAGACGAGTACTGGCAGTCATTGGAGGTGGCTCATCGTTTGGCGTTTAGTTATGGATATCTTACATGGGAATGGACAACAATGATTCGTAGTTACATGTATCCGTTCCTCATATCGATTCTTTATCGGATACTTGCCATACTTTCCTTGGATTATGTGCTGCTGCTGACGATCCTACCCCGTGTCTTTCAAGCTATTCTCGTTGCCTATGCGGACTACAGATTTTACCAATGGACTCAGAACAAGTGGATGCTGCTCTCCTTGTGCTTGAATCCATTCTGGTATTATTGTGCCACTAGGACATTGATAAACTCAGTGGAAACTGCATTTACTATTATAGCGTTATCAATTTATCCATGGAGAGGAAGCCATGCGCAAAACTTAAACTATTTGTGGATCATAGGTTTTCTCTGTATGGTAAGACCCACCACTGCAATTATGTGGTTTCCATTGTGTTTCCGTCACATTTTTGGCATTTACTATTTTCAACCAAAAAAGAAGGTACTGCTTGGTCGGTGTATTTTAATAGGTTCTACTTGTGCCATAATTTCTATATTAGTAGATAGTTACTGTTATGGAACGTTTGTTATAACTCCTTGGAAGTTCTTCCAAGTGAACGTGCTTAGGGGTGTCGGGAGCACATACGGCACCAACCACTTGGTATGGTACTTTTTTGTCGCTTTACCTGTGCTGCTCGGGTCACATTTATTTCCATTTCTATTTGCTTGCTACGTAATGTATAAGCGTCCTAATTCTTATTTTCAAGAAATTCATATGCTAGTAGTAATCTGTTGGACTTTAAACATCTACACGTTAATGTCTCATAAGGAATTTCGATTTATCTTACCACTTTTGCCATTGTTAATATACACAAGTTTCGCTGGTCTTAATCGTTTGCTTATAAACATTAATGCTAATGTGTTTAAAATAATCGTAGCAGTACTCATGTGCAGCAATATCATAGTTGGATTGTTCATTTCCATGATTCACCAATGTGGCACATTGACGATAATGGAGAATCTGCGAAAGGAAATTACTCGTACAAATACTTCATTGACGGACACACTGATTTTGACTCCATGCCACAGCACGCCATTGTACAGTCATTTACATGTAAACATATCGATAAGATTTTTAACATGCGAGCCTAATTTTAGCAACACTAAAAACTATATAGACGAAGCCGATCAATTCTTTGCGAATGCAACAATCTGGCTTAGAGATAATTATATTAACAATGCGAAAGTTACATTACCAACTTATGTGATTGCATTTGATAAAGTTGCGAGCGAAATATCTGAATTTTTACGTACATATAAGTTGATTGCCAAAGAATTTTATACATTCAGATCATTAACGGCAGGGAATTACGCAGAAAATATATTATTATATAAGCATGTGTAATATTCACTGTATATATTATATTATATAATGAATGAGTATGCAAAAAGTATTGACGTAGCGGAGATTAAAAAGAATATTTATATTATTGAAAATAAATTGATTAGTATGTATTATATAATGAATGAGTGTACAAAAGTATTTATGCAGGAAAGATTAAAAAAAAAAGTCATTTATATTTGTAGAAAATAAATTGATTAGTAATTTATTAAAAATGAGTACTTACATGCTATCTTAATAAAAACAAAAGAGCTTCGCAAAAATAATTATTTATGATAAATACGAGAAACGTAACTTATTCTCGGAAATATGATTGTGCTTCGTTGCTATTGGACTTTCAACACAAAAAATCTGCGTGTCTGAAATATTAATGATCCAAATTTAATTGTATACATCTCAAAATCTGTAAAGAATTTATTGCGAAAAATATTCGACTGGGAGCGTAAAATCCGGTAAAATCGATTTATTTAAACTGTTTAAAGAATATATGTTTATCTAACTAAAAGACCGTCAGATATATGTATATATATATATATATATGTATATATATATATATAGCTTGTAACGCTTGCAGTTGTAAAATATTATAAAATTATCACTTTTTTTCAAACTTATCGACATGAAAAAATTTTGATTTGAGACTATTTTCTTTCTCGATGAATAATATTCTACACGTGGAGGTGCACAAATTTACAAATTTACAGAAAAATCGGAGGTGAGGGCGTCATATCATTTTCCACCGAAATCTTATTGTTAGAAATTTCGCAACTGTATTTTTTGTGCGTCTAATGTCCGTCTCTATGTGGTTTAATTTTTATCTCGGTTAAATTAGCTCATGGTTTTTTAGTTTTACGAATTAGAAAAAGATGAAAAGTAAATTAAACTGAGATTACAATTAATTTATACGTTAGCATACATTAGACACAGACATAATACGATAAATTTTCAGTAATTTAATTTTGTGTAAGTGTTCGATACATGTAGTCCAGATGTACATACATAGTTCATAGGTAGATGTTCAATTACTGGGACGTTTACCTTAATTTTAGGGAAAATTTTGACATTTTGTATTTAACATTGATAAAGATTTGTCTCTTTGCCTCTTAATAAATTTCTATTTACTACATTAAATTTTATTTGTATTGGAGATTGTAAACTACTTACTTAAAATGAAGTGAAATAGGTGAACGATTTGACTACAATTTATCATTTCATGGGTAACATCTAGTGAATTTGTTTACTTTTAAGATAAAACTGCATAGTGTCGATTCCTAGAACTTTATATACCGAGGATTTTTCTTCGTTTTGCAATTCTTAATTTTTCATACGTTCGGATAAATAGGTCATAATTGTCTATACTTTTCTAAATTAGCTACTTTTTATAGCTTCTGCGTGACGTCAGAGGAATGTAGCGGAAGAAGTCAATGTCGGCGTTCTTGTTATCGATAATAAAAAAAACAGTATCTCTTGTTCGACCGATCATCAGTAACCTTAAGCGATTATCGTGAAACAGTCATAAACCGGAGGATCTTCCACGTTAAAAAACGCGATCCGTGGATCGCGTTGGGAAGGGGGAGAGGGATCTCTCCGCTTGGAATAAATGGGTACCGTTAGTAAGTAGGACTCGAATCCCAGACCCTCGATGCGGGAACGATAACGATTCTAACGGTACTTTGTACATCGCACTACAGATGCTTCGAAACTCGAAACGCAATTATTCTTGCGAAGCTGTGTGCCGCGTACGCAAATTTTTTCTCCAATTTACGTAGATTTCTATAGCAAACGATGTACCTACATTGAAAGCCTGTCAAAGGCTTGAAACTTGCTGTCACCGCTAATTTGTTATTACTTACTGCTTTGTATAGATCTCGTTATACATATCTACGATATACATAATATAATATTTATACATATCTATAACAAAAGGTGCCGCTGAGAAATATTTTAATTTTTTATTTGTATATTCACGTTTACGATCATAAGAAATTCTTTATTTAATAATATTTATAAATTTTATCCAATTATTTCATAGAATGAAAAATTCAGCGAAAAACTCAACTTTGAGTTTGTATTTTAAAAAAGCAATATTAATTAAAAAATTAATTTAGATTTCACAGTTGTCAGAAATGTTATATATATTTCTCAAGAGGATTCATCTTCCTTATTAAAGCAGGTAATTTCAAGTAGAAACAATTATCTTATCTACCTTTAAATAATTTGCTATATTATATTTATCTTTTTTTGGTTCTTTCTTTTCTCCGTTTAATAAAGTTATTCCTCCCCAGATTCAGAAATATGTGGTCACATTATAACTATAAATCACACGCTCAATTTATTGCATTTTCTTGGAAAAGACGCAGTAATAAATGCCAAATGAAAACTAACGAAGTATTAAGACTGTGATGAAAACCATATTTTTCCTAAAAAATTGTTCTATTTACTTTTTATTATAGATGTAGAGCGTCAATTTATGGAGGTGCTGTATACTTATGGCCTCAAAACTATATACATATATATGTATGTATTCTTACATAATTCTGTTGAGTTATTTAAATATACGTTATGACATATACTTATATATAAAAAAAAAAAAGATAATATCAAAAATGTCAAGGATACTTTATTCAAATCTCATTTCAAATTTTACTTGTCGACGTTGACGTCGTCGCACGTAGATCTCCAAAATTGACGACAACAGTTTTGCATTTTTTATTTCGGCGCAATTAAGGAATCGCTCCCTGTTTTCGCCGATCTGAAACTGGAAATGGATACGAGCAAGGAAAAATGAATGAACTAGTAACGGTGATCAGCGCATTATAGGAGATAAAACGGAAAGTAAAGATACCAACTCCGACTGATACCCACCGGAAAAGTCGAGGAAGGAAAAACGTGTAGGAAGCTCCGTGGAAGGGGGAAGGAAAGGAGGAGATCGGCGATTCCTCGGGAACGCGATGATGACGGATGAGATACGCTATCGTCGCCGGACAAACTCATAGGCGATGCGCGAGGAGATGAGGCGAGGTCGGCGAGGTGTAGCGAAGCGAACGGAGAAGGTAGGTAAGAGGTATATAAGTGGTATAACTCTGCGTAATCGAAGGTACGGCTACAATCCAGGGGAAAATGTAAAGGTGGATGACGGGGGTAGAGGGAGGGAGAGACTACATGGAGTCAACGTTCCGGCCAGGTCAGCGACCACTCAGTGTTCTCGCTCACTCTCTCCCGATTGCCCCCTCTTTCTCGCGTCTTCGCCGCGAGAGCCGGCTTCCTCGGCATCTGACGCCGCTCCGCGCCGCGCCGCTCGCTTCCCGGGAAGAGGCCTTGCTTCCTCATGAAATCTACGGCCTCCTTGCGAAAGCCCGCGATCTCTCTCTCTCTCTCTCTCTCTCTCTCTCTCTCTGTTTATGAGAACGTCCTTGCGGGAAGCCGGATCAAGTCGTCGTACTTGCCGTAGAATGCCTGAAATTGACTTGATGTACACGTTATTTTTTGTGCAACTTTCGTTTACTAATCAAGAACTTGGCATACATTTAATGATAGATTCAGTATAGTAAATATGTACCAACAGTCTATTGGAGATAGTATAAAATGCAAAGAGAGACAATCTGAGATCAATTATAAGGAGACAAATATTACATGAATTTGATATATTTTTCTTGTTTTAATAGAGCATATTCCTTATTCTGAAAGCGAAAGTGCCTCACGGAAAATTTGCTAAATATCATAGAGAATTTATAGAGATATAGATCTGAAAATAATTTATACATATATTGGATCGGACCATCAAAGTATAAATAGTTCAAGTAACTATAGTTGCTGGATTATGTCAAAAGTTTTTTACAGCATTAGGGATAATCATTAAATAATTGAAGTATATTTTCCGCAATTCTACAAATTATATACGTACGTAATATAGTTAGATTTTTTAAGATGCTTTAGCAAAACCGTTCTTTCCGCGTGATAAAGGTAATGCTGCGCATATTCTATAACGAGGTATCGTCTCTACGCAACTTCCTCATAATTATTTTAACGGGATGCGCGGATGTACTTTTACGGATTACAACGCAAGAGTCCTCGAGATCGCGGCACAAGGATCAATCCCATGTGCATCGTTGAAAGGAATGCACTGGCAATCTGCGAGAGACCTGTCCTGTCATTTCGAAAGTTACGTCGTCAGACACAAGAGCCACGTTTAGCTGCACGTATACACGCGACGCGTTGGAGCGCCTGTCCGCCGCGCCGGCCGAGAGAAAGTTCCCCGCGCAACGATGAATCCATTCTCCGTCCTCTTGTGTCGCACGTAAGAGAATCGCGAAATGGATCGATCTCGTCGAGGCCCTTTAAAACCCAGACTATGAATTGGAGATTATGCGAAATCAATCGAAACGAAACGGGTTAAAAATTAAAATTATCTGATTGCTCAAATTTTCATATTCTGTTTGCAATCATCAATCTCCAATGCTCTTCTGGCTCCTTTAATCTGATAGAAACTTTGTGAAGACTTTTCCGTCTTCCGTCTATCTTCTGTTCTTCTTCGCGTGAATCCCAGATCTCTATGCAGGAAGGGGTTATACAATGCCCGTATCTACCAATGTATTATAGTTTAATTTGAATCTCGGTACAACTGACTTTTCGTCTTTTTCTAGTTTTAAAAATTAGAAAAAGGTGAAGAGAGTAAGTTGGACCGAGATTTTAGTAGGTAATCTGCATTGGAGACAAAAACAGTCGTAAGAAAGACAATTGAATCGCGGTTACAGTTAATCGGCATCAAATAAAAGAGAGGGAGAGAAATAACCGTTAGATTTTTATGAATTTTATGCAGACGGAATCAGCGCTTTTTCGGTTGTGATAGATGATGGAACCGTTATGGCTGAGAGATTATTACAGATTCTTGATAAAAAATTCTAGGCTGAGTAATCGACCAACTGGGCCTCGAGAGTCTAGATTTCTAAATCCTGAAATGTCATAAAAGTTGCGCGTTTTTCCAACGCGAGACATCGCTTTCT